ATCCATGGAATATAGTAGTCATATGTAACTATTTCAATTAATTAAACAGGAATAAAATTAAAAACTCATTTTCTCAGTCCTACTACTTACTTTTCAAGTAAGCGCCATGTAACTAGCAGCTACCATATTATACCATGCAGATTATAGCACATCTCTATCACTGCAGTATGGACAGTCCTGCTCAAGATAATATGTAGAACAGTCTAAACTTAAGTAAAAACACAAATGTGTTCCTAGTTTTTAAACTGTAGCTTCCACTGTAGATTAAAGCCCATATTTCTAAAAAAGAAAAAGAAAAAAACCCATAAAAATAAACTTAAGTTATGCTTTTGACGAAGGAAATAGTATGCAAGGTAGATTTCTCGGTGGGGCCAAGTAGCAATGCACACGAGGTGATCTGTGATATCTTTTATCTAATGAAATGACCAGTGGAAAGAAAAGATTTGATAACTGCATAACACATGCAGATTCTTAAAAGTCCTCTTTTCCCTTTGACTTAGCTCTGACTAATTGTTTGGGGTTGAGATGGTAATCTTTTCTTAGAGAAATCTGTAAGTGGCAGAAAATACAGTCTGCTTGTACATCCACCCCTGTAACAAAGAATCTAGTTAGTGAGATATTAAAAATGACAGCATCATATCAAAGAGTGATGTTGCATAGTCACTGCGGTAATCTACTTCACAGTTAACTGAGCAATTTCAGATAAAGTGGGTATTTTGGATCTGTCTGTGTGCCTCTAATCCTAGTTAGGGCTCATGCTACTGAATTCAAATTAAAAGAAGGGTAGACCACTTTGAAGAAATGTCACAAGATGGCAAGCCAAGAAATACCTAAATCCAAAATGTCTGAATTGTTTTACATTTTAAAAGGAATAAATTTTCCTTTATCAGCTTTATAATCCATTTAGTCAATGAGACAGATTGGTTAAACAAAACTATACAGTGCTTCACATGAAGACGTTAGCTTTACATTATTTCTTCTCAGTATTTAATTTTTAAATATTCTATTTGCTTTACATGTAAGTTTGCTAAGGGGCCCCTAAGGAGCCCAAGTGGCATAGTGATTAAAGTGCTCAGCTGTGAACTGAAAGGTCAGCAGTTTGAATCCACCAGGTACTCTTCATGAGTGGGATGTGGCAGTCTGGTTCTATAAAGATCACAGCCTTGGAAATCCTATGGGGCAGTTCTACTCTGTCCTATAGTGTCACAATGAATTGGAATCAACTCAGCAGCTATAGGTTTGGGTAAGGGACCCCTGATTTTGGCATGTTCTCTCAATAACTTTTATACATCAACTGCCAAGACAAATTAGATGTTCCCTGATGATCTAGGATGATATACATATTTCACCTGAGTCAGAAGTCATTCCAGAGCCATGGCTCTAGCTACTGTAATGTCATAAAGCTATATGGGTTTCTACTTATTGCTTGGATTTTGGGTTCGAGGAATTTTACCTAAATAATTAGGCTGTAACAAGAAAAATCTATTCACATAAATAATTTCTTGATGACGACAGCATTTCACAGCTCTTTATAACTTCCAGTGATATACTGCCCCATACTAAAGTGGAAAAGAACTAGGATCCTGTGCTATACTACAGATGCAAAGTGGACAATATTATGATCATTAAACCTAATTTCTCTTAAAAATAATGGATAACTCTTAGGTGTTTCTAAGCAGACCTTAGAATACACTTGACATGGATTTTCTATTATTCAAAAGTTACACTACAATTATTTATATTTGTTTTCTGCCCTTTCCTTGTACCTCTCCCCCCAATCCTGAACTCCCTTTGCAAATAAACTGAGTAGCTTGTAAATTGGAGGGCAAAAATTGAAATACTCTTGGGCACCTAGATATGGCTTATGACAAATAGTAAGTGAAACAGATACACAGCTATGATCATTTACTATGGATACAGTTTCAAATATCCACCTAAGGTTTATTTCAATCACATTAAAAACATGATGTAGATCATCTATTGCTAGTACAATTATAAAATGGTACAGCCACTGTGGAAAACTATTTGGAGATTCTGCAAAGTTAAACACAGAATTACCACATGACCTAGCAAGTCCACTCCTAGGTATATTCCAAAAAGAACTGAAACAAGGAACACAAATAGATACATATGCACCAATGTGCACTGCAGGGTTATTACTCTGCCATAAAGATAAATGAAATCCCGACACATGCTACAACACAGGTAAACTTTGAAAATATTATACTGAATGAAACTAGACAATCACAAAAGGACAAATACTGTATGATCTCACATGAAATATAGAGAATAGGTAAATATGTAGAGACCAAAGTTCATTAGTAGCTACTGACAGCACAAAGGAGGGAAAAAAGACGGAGGCGGCATCATAGGGGCACTAAGCTTCTGTTAAGGGTGATGGAAACATTTGGAAACAGTTGTGATGGTTGCACAACACGATGAACTGTACATTAGAAAATGCTGAAATGGCTAATGTTTTGTTATATATATATATATTTACCATAATTAAAACCAAACAAAAATTTGATAAGCTGAGAAAGGGGAAAGAGAATATCGAGCCTCAGTAAGCAACCAATAAACGTCCAATGCACTCATGGAAAAAAAACAGAAACATAATGTAGATATGGAACTTGTAAACAAAAATTCCACCCCGAAATTTAAAAACACCCTTCCACCCATCCCATTCCTTTTCTTTTCCAAGGCCTATTACTTACTTTTCCAAGTTCTGTAAGTGTTCTCTGACTTTCTGTACCAGTCCCAGCTTGGTGTCATTAACCACAAAATCATCACAGCGATAACTGCAAGGAAAATATTAATCAATGTATTTAAAGAGCCTGAGGAAACCACATTAATGAAATCACTAAAAGGCCTAGCTGCTGCCAGGATAATCACGTGGCTCTGCAGATAGTTACTGTCAGTGGTAAGTTTAAAAAGGACTTGGAATCCACAGTGGAATGTTTTTTAAAAGCCTTTTAAAAAAGTCACGTAGGCAATGAACATTTGTTTTTTTACACACTTTTATTCAAAATCTTTTTAATTTCTCCTTCTAAAATAAGATATGCTGTTACATGTGTTCCTTCTTTTTAGTGATGCATAATGAAATTAAAAGCAGCAATTCTATTCATGTAACATTATACCTAAAGCTTTAAGGTGATACTTCCTAACAGAAATTAATGAGGAATTTGGAGGGAGGAGAAATTTAAATGGAAAACAAGGAAAGGTAATTAATCTGTAGGAATATTTGTAAAATTCAACAATTTATAGGAATACTGTGTGTGAAAGCTGGACAATTATTATTAAGAAAACCCTAAAAATTTATGCATTTGAATCATAGTGCTGGTGAAGAATACTGAATACACACCATGGACTGCCAGCAGAACAAATAAATCTATGTTGGAAGAAGTACTGCCAGGATACTACTTAGAAGTGAGGACAGTGACACTCTGCCTACTATGCTTTGCATATGATATCAGGAGGAACCAGCTCATGGAGAAGGACATCATGCTTGGCAAAGTCAAGGGTCAGCAAAAAAGAGGAAGACCCACAATGAGATAAAATGACACAGTGTTTGCAACAATGGGCTCAGGGTGCAGGACTGGGCAGTGTTTGGCTCTGATGTACAACAGGTCACTATGAGGAGAAACTGACTCAACAGTACCTAACAACAACAGGAATATATTAATTTAAAATAAATAAATAAAACTGTACATCTTAGCCACAAATTAAATTCACATGAGTTGGGGAAAGTTAATCTTTTCATTCTGAAGTGCTAGAAACAAAAGTATAAAACAATAGCTATAATTATAAAACTGATTAACTGCCTTGAAGAAAGACGTTTAAAGCTTTTTAAAATACTGATACTGTGTATGTTATGTTTTAGCAAATCAATAAGTAATTAAGATAAGGAATCACACATAATAAGCTTAAACTTATACATTAGCATTAAGTTCCCCCCACCCCAGGGTAAGGACAATTATAACAAAACAATTTAGAAGTTGGCACCAAGGTTTTTTTTTTCCCAATATGCAGCTCTGTATAAAATCACTTCCTGTAAATCCAGCAGGATGATGAACGTAACACTGCCTTTCTGAGCAAAGGATACTTTGAAAGCATTGTTGTTATGTGTCGAGTCAAACCCGACTCATAGTGACCCCTCCTTGGGTTTCCGAGGCAGTATCACTACAGAAGTAGGATTGCCCAACCTTCCTTCCGACCCCTCCTTGGGTTTCCAAGGCAGTATCACTCACTTCAGAAGTAGGATTGCCCAACCTTCCTTCCGAGGAGTGGCTGGTGGGTTTGAACCGCCAGCCGTCTGGTTAGCAGGCAAGTGTCTTAGCCACTATGCTACCAGAGCTCCCAGCACAGCAATCAGTAAAAATAAGGTCATCTTTAGCAGAACCCAAAAATATTTCTTATATATCTGACAGAAGCCTTTAAAAAAAGGAGAGGTGGAGGAAAATGATTAAAAAAAAAAAAAAAATTATACACAAAAGAATGGTTTGAGTCTTTTATTCAGAGAAGTCAAAATTCTAACTGAAACATTATATATGTAATTATTTAACACCCACCCTGATTCACTGACCACCTATACTGTCAATCAAAATTTCTCTAAAATATTCTCTGAGTTCTCAGGATCAATCCCTAACATTTCCACAAAGAGCAAAAGCAATTTTTTACATCTGAGACTGTTTCTCTATGATCTAAGTACCAGTAACGGCAGAAAAATCATTTCTTTATCACTTTTATGACAAATACATAAAGGAATTAAGTTGGTGAGAAAGTTTAATTCTTTGCATCTTCTCACCATTAATGTTCTGAGGGAAAGGTCTACTTTGTAAATGTGGGCTCAGTGCTCTTGGTTCCTTGCATTCACTGAAGAAATTACTTTGTTACTGTAGCTTGACTCCAGCTTATGTTTTCATTTTACACATGTAGTTGGGACAAAACAATTCCCAGTGTTCAAAACAAAAACAACTCGAAACAAATTAACAACCTAATTTGTTATGATCCACACAATCAAATGCCTTTGCATAGTCAATAGAACACAAGTAAACATCTTTCTGGTATTCTTTGCTTTCAGCCAAAATCCATCTGACATCAGTAATGACATCCCTCATTCCATATCCTCTTCTGAATCCAGCTTGCATTTCTGGAAGTTCTCTGTCAATACACTGCTGTAACCCTTTCTGAATTACCTTCAGTAACATTTTACTTGCATGTGATATTAATGATATTGTTCGATAATTTCCACATTCTGTGGGATCACCTTTCTTTGGAATGAGTACAAATATGGATCTTTTCTGTCAGTTGGCCAGGTAGTTGTCTTCCAAATCTCCTGTCATAGCTGAGTGAGTGCCTCTAGTGCAGCATCTTTTTATTGAAACATCTCAATAGGTAGCCTGTCAGTTCCTGGAGCCTTGTTTTTCGCCACTTCTCTCAGTGCAGCTTCGACTTGTTGTTGTTATGTGCCATCAATTATTTTATCTAATTTTCATGACTAAATACAGATCAAATATTTCCAATGAAAATTTACTATGTGAATTGAAATGTGATGTAAGTGTAAAAGACAGTGTATTTTGAAGACTTTATATGGAAAAAGAATGAAAACTATCTTCAATAATTTTTATATTGATGACATGTTTAAATGATATTATTTTAAATATATAAGGTTAAATATAGATTAAAATTAATTTCACCTGTTCTTTTTTTTGTTTTTTTTATTTTTTTAAATGTGATTACTAGAAAATTTTAAATTAAATGTGTGGCTTGCATTATTTCTACTAGATAGCTCTGCTAATCTAGACAGCAACACTTTTACTGCTCTGAAATTCTATACTACTACCAATATCACAAAGGGGTAATGAATATAATCTTAATAAATTGTAAGAATCAAATTTTATTTTGGCTGGATTTGTTTTTACTGGCTTAAAAAAAATCTTTTAAAAGTTTTTACAGTTGCCTCTGCTTCTCAAGCTTGTTCGAAGATCCTAAGATTAAAATTGTAAAAACTTCTTTTTCTTTCAAATTTTTTTTCCCTGTGATCACTTTTTTAAGAGATAATTTTGAATAGTTAACACATGGTTTAAAAATCAAAACAGCACATGTGAGTATATGGGTATGTATGTATAGGTGTATCTGTAGGCATAAAAATACATATTTATGTATCCTGTATATATATATATATATATATATATCCTGCATTCATATATATAATACAGCACATAGGGGGTACAACTGCAGATACTTCCTAGACATAACCAAAAATCTCACAGGATTGGTTTATGGTTTGAAGGCTTAGGCCCATAGCCTCGGAGGACAACTTGGTCAATTGGTTTAACATAGTTCATAAAGATACTGTTCTACATCCTAGTTTGGTAAGTAGTGTCTAGGGTCTTAAAAGCTTGCAAGCAGCCATCTAAAATAAAACTATTGTCTGTACTCATCTAAAGCAAAAGAGAAAGAAGGAAACTAAAGACTCAAAAGAGAAACTAGTCCACAGGATTAATAGCCCAAATGAACCACCTCATCCATTCTAAGAGCAGAACTAGATGTTGCCTGGCTACCACTAACAACCATTCTGACCAGGGACACAACAGATGGTCCCAGATCAAATGGAAGAAAAATGTAGAACCTCAAATTAAAAAAAAAAAAGACTATACTTACTGGACTGGGAGGGACTAAAGAATCTTCCAAGACTATCATTCTGAAATACCCTTTGAACTTTGAACTGAAGCCACTACCAGAGGTTACCTTTCAGCCAGATAACTGATTGATTCATAAAATAAACAATGTAACCCATGAATACTATTGATAATTTAATAATCATCTATATGAGACCAAATGGTCGATATTTACCCTAAAGCAAAGATGAGATGGTAGGGACAGGGAAGCTAGATTAAAGGAAACAGAACAACTAGGATGGAAATAATGAGAATGCTGACACATTGTGAAAAATGTAACCAATGTCACTGAACAGTAAGTATGGAAACTGTTAAATGGGAACCTAATTTGCTGGGTAAACTTTCACCAAAAATGCAAAAGAATAAAAAAAATCTCACATAAATATGTTACTATTTAGAAATCTTGTTGCTATCAAAATGCCTGTCTACCACATCTCCCCTCATAGTCCCTATAGGTAACTATTTTTGACTTATTTAATCTTTCTTGATTCTTTATGCAAATATAAGCTAACATAAATATATATTCTTATCACCCATGCAACTTTTTTACAAAAAGGCACTATAGTGTATATACTTTTTCCACTGTTTTTTCAATTAACAATACATCCTGATGGCATCCATTCTCTCTCATAGTTGCCTACTATTCTATTGCGTAAAAACTACCATATTTGCGAATCTCCTATTATCTTCCAAACGCTAATATTTAGTAGAGATTTCAACTTAACAGAAATTGAAGTAATGAAGAGATTAGCTTTGAAAGTAATTTACATTGTTTAAAAAGTAACATAAATACTTTTTCTTACCATTCATTTTTATAATCACTAAAATGTAGAACTGTAAATAATTACATGGAAAAATGTCCACAGCATATTGTTAAAAAAGTAAACTGCATTAACAGTATGTGTAGTATAATCCTTTATTTGTATGACGTCCTACCTGATTGGGTGTTCAGACAAACTGTTAAAACAATTTTTTTCTAAAGAGTAGGATCTTAAGAGATAGGTGATGAGGTTTTTACTCCACATTTCTGTATCCTGATTTTTTCAAAAAAATTTTGAAGACCTTTAGCAGATCCAATAGACAATTAGACTGCAAGAATATCAGCAACAGAAGATCAG